GTCCCGGGCCAGCTGTGCCTCTGCTTTTGCCTTCTTGCACTCCTCGTCGGTTGATTGCGTCTGCTTTCGGAGTGCTTCGATGTCGCGTGTCTGGCGTGCCGCCTCCTTGTCAGCAGCCTCGAGTCCTGCCGTCTGAGCCATTTCGATGCGGCTTAGCGCGTCCGTAACATGCCTTGCACCACTGCTCTCTCCTTGGCTGTCTTTCAGGTTCTCCAGTGACCGCACCAGCTGATCCAGCTGTGCCTGGACGGCGGTCTTCAGGATCTGCACTTGTGGGGCAACGTTTGCGGCAACGAACGCCTCCAAGGAGTTGTTGACAACGTTCATTGCCTGCTCGGATTCCAACTTGGAGGCTTCGATCTGCCGGCCAACGGCCTGCATCAAATGAGCTTCAAATGCATTGAAGTAATGTACCAGGTCCGGGTCCATCCTCTTTGCTTGTCGCCGACGGCGCTGGCTCTGGCACCTGCTGGAGGAGCTCGGCTGCTCGCAAGCAGGATCGGCGCGGCAGCGCAGACAGAGAAGCTGCAAGGGATGCGTACAAAGCTCAGGTCCTATCCGTTCCGTGTCAAATGATACTGCGCGATCCACCTGCCGGGCATGAGGCCATTCCAAACCAGACCGAATCCCATTAAGATTCCTGCTGCCCCTGGTGTCATTGATACGCTACGGCGCTTCGGCTGTTGGGCCACTTGAGCCAAAATGGCACCCAGAAGCAGAACCCAGAGATCCTTGTAAAAGAACCCCTAGAAGATCCCCTGAAGAACCCCGTACCTTGAACCTTAAACGCTAAACCCCAAACCCAAACCTTGAACCCTAAACCCTTAAACCCTGAACCCCTAAAACGTTCGATACGCTTAGCCCTGTTCAGGGTTTAGGGAACTAGGCCTTGTCTAGATCAGGGTCTTAACTTAGAGCTTGCGCCCGAACGGCATTTTGAGATTTAGAGCTCAAAGCTGGAGCTAGGACTCAGGAAGCTGCTTGTTTACGGATGTATATCGTAGGGGCCTTAATAATTAGAATAGGGTTTTGGGGCTACATGGCTACTACGTGAACCTAAGGCTGTCAACCTAACCTAAACCTGAAACCTTACCTTAAACCCTGTAGTGCTATAGCAAGCTAACAGTGGGAGCCTGAAAAGACTGCTTCCAGGATCCTAGTAACCCGGGGCTGCTAAACCTTAGCCTAAAGCACCTTTGCATCCAGCCTGCTACTGAGCCTCTGTTGGGATCTGAATGACCTCATGAAAGCAAAATGAAAGCAAAGCTTCGCGCCTGCCGTGCCATGCGTGAGGTATGAAATCAAAAGATGCTGCAACCGCAAGCCCTTGGAGGAAAGCTTGAAACCCCAAACGCCCAAAAGCTGAAACCCTGAAAGGACCAAGGCGCAGCGAAAATAGAGAAAACAAACAGCACCTAACCGCAACTCTAGTACTAAACCCAATCCAAATTCCGCAAAGCCCTGTTACAGCACGCCCAACAGAAAGGGAATGAACTCACCGGCAAAACCCTGCAGACCATCCCCAAACCCTGAAGCCAAAAACTCCAAACCCTGAACCTAATCTGAGTCCCTAAACCTTCAAGTTTGAACCCTGAAACCAGATTCAACAAGAACCCAGGCAAACAGAAGGGTAGAGTCGGGTAGAAATCTTAGAGGTTCATGTTTCAATTTCTTGCAGGTGCTCCTGCAGGGGTTCCTGCAGTAAACCCTCAACCCTTATCTATGAGGGCCTGCATTATTTCAATAGGGTTTTGGGATACATTACATTATACAGATGTTCAGAAGTACTGAAGACAGTGCCACCAATGAAAAAAGGCACTACACATCCGTTCTTTCAGCCCTAAACCCACCCTAAGCGCACTTTTCTTTTAGAGAAGTTTTGGCCAAACAGTCTTTAAACCTTCCAAAAAAAAACCGGGACCCCTAAAACCCAAAAACCCTTAAACCTTTTCTACAAGGGCTTCCGAAGGACTCCTCGGGGATGGGCCGGCCCAAGAAGTGGCTCAGCGGCGCCCAGCCGTCAGCGAAGTCGAACCTCGGGGAGTCGTAGACAGGGGCTTTGTGGCTTTAGGGCTCTGTGGGATTAGGGTTTCGTGGGGCATTCATGATATGGGGCTTGTTGTGTTTTAAGAAAACAAGGCTTGCAGCGGACATTGTAGCGTTTTATGGAACATGGTTTGTTGTGGATTATAGAACAGGGCTTGTCGTGGTTTTGTAAAACAGGGCTTTAGTGTTTTGTGAAACACTATAAGGGCCTGACTTACTAGACTAGGGCTTCGTGGCATGTCTTATTGTTGCTGTCTTACCTTCGGGGCTCTACTTACCATTGAGCATGTCTGTCTTGTGTATCCTTCGGCCCACTCCCGTGACAGCACGGTCTTCTGTTGACAAATGCTCTGTATTGGTTCGTGGTCTTTGTCTGCTTGATCTGCTCGTGGACACGAAGCCTTAGTTCAAACTGCACTACTTAGCTGCGTGCCCGCACCCATGATAACAAAAGACCCTCCTGCAGCAAAAATAGAAGCATCTGCTAAAAAAGGATCATCACGGCGAACCTCAGCACAACCATGAGTTCTGCCTGCCCTGCCAAGTGCTAGAACCCTACAGGAAACCACCCTGAACCCTACATACGATAGATGGTCATACCGTCAGGCGGCAAGAGCAGTCGTGACGGAGGAATGGTGGACTTCACTCGCTCCATGTGGGCATTGAAGTTATTGTAGCCTTTCAGCTCATCTCAAACGCACGTGTCCAAACACTATTGCACATGTAGCTTTTGACCCTGTTAGCCCTTATAAAACCCTGTCAAGCCCAGAGTAACTCAATAATTCGTCGGGCTTCATCCGTACTAACTTTTTGAGGTGAGCAGCAAACTCAAGTGCGGATTGGACAACGGAGTTCGTGAAAGTACAGCGAGGGCCTGATCTCTCTAAGGCTAAGGTCAATTGGTTGAACACCTACAGCTTCCGAGACCAACATCTTCTGGTTACCTTCGTGGTGGTGTCTTGCTTCAACTCATCATATCAAGAGCCAACAACAAAACATTCCAACATGCGATCTCGAGGCAGGTCCTGTTCTCCTCCTCGGACATGCCTGCAGCTACAAGAGTAAGGTTGGGCTTATGCCTAGTCGGCTGTTCGGTCTCCCGTAGTGGTTGAACATTTTGTCGTGTCTCAAGAATACATCGTCTCAACGTTGTATTTTTTCCACGGAGGGCTTGGGCAGAGTTCTCATATTCAACGTTACTCTATCTCTCTCGCTCTCTCGTAAATGCGGTCTTGCCACCGTGCTACAATTGTCTACTTACTAGATTGATCAAAGTGTACACGCCTGTGCAACCCAAAAAAGTTTTCTTGAAGGGACATGCCTTCAACCTGAACCCACATGCGAGACTGTTGTACCCTCATCCAACCATTTAAGCCAGCCCAATATCTCTCAAAGCCCTTGTCAAAATCTTGCGGTTAATCTAATGGGAGTGTCAGGAACTAGGGATCAACAAAATGCCCAAGTCACAGTATCCTTACTGTAAGGACCCTATGATAAGTGCCGCTAATGTATAGAAGCCCAAATCACCATATCTCTACCATATGTCTAAAAGGATCCCGAAATATAGACTGCCGGGTAGCCCTGAAGAAAGGAAACTGAGGGCCAGGCCAAGTCCCGAAAACTAAGGCCCGTTTGCATCCAGGACTCTCGCAACCAGCCGGGAAACTCCACAAGACAGCAAAAATCAACGCTCCAGCAGCACTCGTGGCTACTAAAGGATCGATCCTACGCGATTCAAAAGCCCAAACCCCTAAACCCTAAGCCCCAAACCCCTTAAAGCCCCAAAGCCCTTAAAGCCCTAAAGCCCTAACCCCTCCTAAAGCCCTTAAAGCCCTAAGTCCGGGCCTTGGATCTTCCCGAAGTTGCAACCCCAGTAGTGGCAGGCCCAGCAGTAGGTTCTGGGCGTCGTCCAACTGTTGGACTTCGCCTGGGCATTTTTGGGGCGATTTTTTGGGGCTTCTTTGGGGTTTAGGACAGGAGGTGCGGGAAGGTTGGTGGGTTTCGGGGGGTTTTGGGGTTGAGGGGATGTGGCCTGAGCTTCTCTATCCGTCTCTCCCTAAGAGAGATTTCCGCCTTATTGCCTTCTCGTTTTTGGCATTGGCGCGCCGACCATGCCTGTGAAGATAGTTCTTCACACCATCATGCTCACAATGATGCCCCGTTGGGGCAACTCGTGGTTCTTGAATTCCTTGGTTTTTTGAATTCGGCAATGGCTTCAGCGCTCCTTGTTGAGTCCTGTTGGGGGGAATTCAAGGTGCATCTTGACCTGCAACTTGCTAAATGCCCCGCCCGAACCCAGAAACAGAAGACCCAACCCTAAAAATGATCCGAATCCCCATGGACTCCGCTGACAAGGATCTTCCTGCTGTCGGTCGAAATACTCCAGCGTCGTATTCCGCTTGATCTTCAGGCCTGTGGGGACCCGGTGAGTGCAAGAGCTCTTAATCAAGATGCCTTAACATATACTGCCAGAATCGCAATAGCTAGCAGTACTATACCCTTGCGGTAGCCGCACAAGCTAAATCTGTACAAGTCACAGCACCCTTTCCTACCTGTTGAGGCCCTTATGTGCGAGTGGCCTCTCATCTGATTTTGTGTATCTGTTGAACCCTAAGCTCTACTGTACTATAACCTACCAGTACTTTAATACAAGACAATATGTTAATGTGATGTAAGAAAATTGAACGTAATGTAACATAACATAACGTAACATACTATATGTTCAACATCTGGCCAGGATGGCAGTTGGGGCCAGGGCTTGGTTTTAGAGTGGAGGGTTGAGGGTGTATGGCTTGGGGCTTTAAGGCTTCGGGTGTAGGTTTAGGGCTAGGGTTTAGGGTCTGTCTAGGGCTTAAGGCTTTAGGGTGTTTTGGTTTAGGGCTTGTTGTGTTTAGGTGCCGTTTTCGCTTAAAGTGTTTTAGGGCAGGGTTTCGGTTCCGGGGCTCTCCTTGACCGAACCAGACAGCGCCCTGTACTCTGCAGAGGGTTTGTTTGAGGCTCTAGGGATTCCCTGTTGAGGCTTCCCTTGATGAAAGGCCGGTAGTAACAGGGTTCCGGGGGTTCCTTTCAGGTCTCCTGCAAGGGTTACGATGGTGTTTAGGATCCTCAGCGAGCGGCCAGCCTTCCTTGATTGGGGGGACCTGCCTTCAAGAGACACAAAACCTTTGGGAGGGGGCCTTGCGGGGGGGGGGGGTCTATGACCCTACAAGGCCCAATCCTTCCCCAAACCCTACTTGGAGGTTCATGGGTTAGCTACAACTGGGGTTACAAGTGGGGTAGCTATAGCTATAACTCAGATTAGGGGAATTATAACCCGACGTATAACTACGAATGAACCTCCAACCCTGGGGGTTGGTGCTTTTCTTTAAACTCACACTCGGAGAGAAGCCGGCACGGCCTGCAGCATCTTCAGGCGTTAGGGCTTAGGGCTTGGGCTTCAATAGCTGATCCTTTCTGGGAGGCATCGGAGGCATCTGCCTTCTAGATCTCGGTCTGGGAACGAAGCCCGAACGACGGTTCTTAAAGTGCACAAAACCCAAAAACCCCCTCTCAACCCTAAACCCCAAACCCGCAACCCTAAAACCCTCAAAACAAGATCGTGATCCTCTGACTGTAAGTGTTCGAGACCGCCATCACAGCCACGGGACGCTTCTGCGCTGCAGCTGCGACCCGTCGTTCTTTTGGAAATTTGCTCTGAGCACGGGGCGGCGAAATGGATTTGGGTTTTAAGATTTTCGGGTGTTGGCTCTGTTTTGAGGGCTTACGGCCAGGGACGGAAAAAATGAATTCAAAATTTCAAGCAGTTGTATTTCTTGGTTTCTAGCCAGAAGTTAAACCCTAGCCCGGCGCGGCAACAGAAGTTTCCTAGCTTCGCTGGAGTTCACACTGAAGGCGTGCTGGTTTTACGCTCTCGGGTCCAGGGTTTAGAATTTAGGGTTTAGGGTTCGGGATTGGGGTCATGGGTTTTGGGTTGAGGGTTTACGGTTCAATGTTCGGGATTGGGGCTTCGGCGCTCACACTCGGACAATCCAGGCGGGGCACGTGGTTCGAGGCCTGCTGACAGTGAAACAAATGAGTTTTCAACAACACGTTGGGGTTTGGGGTTTAGTGGACTACAGGGTTTACTACTTGGAGGATCCTTGGACTTTGTAGCTAGGGTTATATTTAAACAAGACAACTATGTTTCCAAATTACCCTATAACTCCAATAAGGGCACTTATCACCATACTAACTAAGTCTCATGATCCTCCAAGTGCCCTAAACTCCAGGACTGAGCGGCATTCTCGAAAAAATCGTTGTAGGAATTCATCCATTGCTCGGCCGTCGTCACCGGCAAAATGAACCTCAGCTCTTGTCTGGGGCTTACGGGTTCTGTAAAGGTTCCATGAGAGCTCTTTAGACGTGCTAGTCTAGAGGCCTTAGTAGACTTGAGGAGTTTAGAAGCATAGCACGTAGGCATGCCCATGAACCTGAGAATCGGCCTACCGCACCGCGCTCCGCATATGAACCGACCCGAATTTCGATGTGTGTTTATAACTAGGGTCATGAGGACATTGATTATGATTAGGCCTACGACCAACTAGATCGAAACACTTGCAGGGTGACGCATAAGAGGGTTGCCCTTGTCAGCAGGAATGGCCGGGGAATATGTAACCGGGGATTGCGTCATCAGTAGCCGGGGACTGTGTCATGAGTGGCCTGGATACGACCGTCGAGTATTCCCGGCGAGGGCTGGGCTTGATCTCGACACGGCTGAAGTCTAGCTCGGACTTACGGGGCAGGGACAACCGCTCGAACCTTCAAGGAGAGCGCCTCCATCAAACATAGGCTGACTCCACGAGTCCTCAGCTTAACGAAGAGCAAGGTGCTTTGCATTGGGAAACTCTTCCATGACAGCGTCGTACATCAGCTGGAATGGCTCATCCATGGCTGCATCGAATCCATTGAGGAGGTTCAAAGCGACCTTCAACAGGGCCATGCTCTAGGCCCTAAACCTTAAGCGAAAGTGCCTGGTTGCTGAAGTCCTTAAACTGATCCGGACTGGCTACCACTTGGACTTTTTTCAATCTCAGTGAAAACCTAGCAAACGGCATGTAATTAAAATCACGGGTGCAACAATGGAGCCTTTCCTGCTTCTAACCTACATACTACTATAGGTCGGCTGGTTCCCTCTCGGGGGTCGCCTTCTTCGACCCATTGAAGTAGAGGAAGTTGCACATGGGCTCCCGGACAGATCTGTTGTAGCCGCTGTGCAGAGGCCGCAGGCCCAGAATAGTCAAAGCTGTGTACATGGTCTGGGTCCCTGTCCGCGGAGGCCCAACATAAAGAACTTGAAAAGATCGTCCAAGGCTGGCAAAGCTCAAGAGAAGCGCCATTGGCAGCATGATCCTCGAAGTGGCTGACATACTGCCACCCTCACTGCACGGACGTTGTATGGAGGGGTCGTGTGCGGTAGGCGTGTGGCTTTCCACGCCTGGTCTTGGGCCCAAACGCAAGGCAAGGACCTCTTTTAAGTTAGGTTAGGGTCTCTTTGTGGCTCCCCCGAGCCTGATTCCTTGCTGAAAACCTCAGAGCTTCTGAAACCTCACAGCCGAACTTTCATCACGGTCGGAGTACACAAGCCCAAGAAAGGTCAAAGGCCACAACAGCCCCCCCCCCCCCCCCCCC